AGAGGAAGAAGAAGAGTGGGCACAATCCTGTGCCATGTTCTCCAGGATGATCCTCCCAGCCTGGCCCATTCTGTGCAAAAATGACAGAAAATGGGAAATGTTTGATGTTAAATCCTGGAAGTAACTCAGAGTTTCAGTGCCTGCGGTGGACAGAGCCCTGTGAGCTCCAGGACTGCTCTGGAGATTTAGGGGCTAAGTTAAATTGTTGTTAATGAGCGATTTTGTGTGGAGAATTGTCCTCGTGATAGTTCCTAAATTGCCCCATTGTCCCTCTAATTAACCAGGACTTGAAAGGCCAAGCTCTGCCTGGGCTGCAGTTTTAACTTGGCTTACAAGGGCTGGAAATCAGCGATTTCAAGTTAACAAAGACAAGCTAAAAATGTATTCATGGACCAGCAGCATCTTTGCTGTGTGTTTTAATATCTTTTTGCCACTGAGATACCCAATGAATTGTTCCTGTGCAGCAACAAATCGGGCAGGAAGAACAAAGTAGCTCAGTGGAATAGATAAATCAAATTTAGGCCTGGTAGTTTATTGAATCTAAATTGTGCCCAGTTGGCCCACGAGCTATATGAGCAATCCATCTTGTGCTGATAATGGAGGGTCTTGAAATCCACCTGATGTTTGCATTATTAAATTCCAGCCTAATGAGCTCTGCTAATACATATTGAGGACAGTTGTAAGGAGCAGAATGGGAATGGGAGCGGGATAATTTGAAAGAAACATAAGCTGAGCATTTTACATGACTCAAGGGGTATATCTACAATTACACATATCACCAAAATTGAATTTAAATGGAATTTCTATTATCCCTGTCCTTTTACCAAGGAGAATAAAGTGTAAATGAAGTAAAAGTCTTTAGAGTTACTCGTGGTTTGGTTTTATTATGGGATTTAATAGATTCTTGTAATGATCTTCAGTGGCAGAAAAAGTTTTAATATTTCACGGCTTTAAATGTTGTCTAAATCTGTATAAAATGGTGGAGCTGGAGCAGCTGTCAGTGCAGTGATGGGATCACTTTGTGGTTGTGCATTTTAAGGTGGAGCTGGTGGCTCCCAAAAGGAACGAGCCCTTCACCCCCTCCCGAGCTGAATTTGGTTTTCATTAATTCTTGCTTAATTCAGGAGGTGCTGGGATTAAATATTTGCAAATCTGACTCAGCTCTTACCATCCAGAGCGCAGTTTATAGTGATTTTCCCTCCCTGAGAGGGCCTGGTGTAAATTCTGGATTCCTGGTCCTTGTTGGTTCTTCTCTTTCTGGCCTGGTGATACTTTTGAAAACTTAATATTTCATCAAGTATAATGTTATTAGAGACTTATTCTCACTTAGTTCACTCATCAGGCAGTGAGATGGCAATAAAAGAGAATGGCTCCTTTGAGACATTAGTGCTTTGGAATAAATGATGTGCTAGAACAGAAATTTAATTAATTTACAGAGTATATTGATAGTCCCTTGTTACTGTGCTGTATATTTTTAATCTTCTTTAACATCTGTAGGAAAGTGTTTGAAAACCCCTGCAGTTGAGCAACTGGTAGATAATTAAGTAATAAGGGAAGAGGTTTCTAGAGGGAAAAAAATTCTTTTTAAAGAAGATTGTTGTAACATGGATTAAGTACTGCTGCTGTGATTTGGAGTGAAGAGGAAATTGTGTACTACCTAATAAAGTCCTGAGGAAGAGCTGACTCCCACTCTGAGCAGAGTCTGCAGCCCTGGAAATGTTGATTTGTTTCTGTTTTAGCCTCAAAATATTCTGTGAGCAATCTGCTGGATTGCTCACTGTGGCAGCAAATCTGCCCCTTGGTGGGTGCACCACGTTCGGGGCAGTTTGGGCTGGGCAGATTGGGGCTTAAAGAAAGAAAACCTCCTAAAAGTCTCTTAATGGCTTTGCTTACCCCAAAATGAATGTGGGGATTTGTATTGAATTAATATTGCCTCTAATATTGACCTGATATTACCCTCCACAATCCCATTTACGCCATTCCTTAACTGGGAGGATGACTTTAAATAAAATTAGTGAAGAAGCAAGCTCTGGTCTGGCAGGCACGTGGATTTCATTGTGGGGCCTGCAGGAAGGAACAGGAAATTGGGTTTAAAGCAATTAAACAAGGAAATATTGTTTGGCAAGAAGTTGTTGACACCTGGCAGTGTCCCAGGCCAGGCTGGACATTGGGCTTGGGACAATGGGAGGTGTCCCTGCCATGGCAGGGGTGGCACTGGGTGGGATTTAAGGTCCTTCCAATCCAAACCATTCCATGATTTGATAGGATAAATTTAATTCATTCCAACTCATTTTCTTCTTTTTAGCCAAAGCAGACGAAGCATTGAAGGCCAAGGAGAGAAGTGAAGAGGAAGCCAAGAGAAGAAAGGAAGAAGGTGAGGAAATTTCTTTTATTTCATGACAAACTGAAGCCCAGGAAGTCAGAAATTATTATTTTTAAGTGTCCAGGCTCCAGTGGGGCTGTGGGATTTTCCTCCCTGGGCTAATGATGGAATTTGGTGCCCTGAGCTGCTGCTTTGCAGGTGGAATAATGGAACCACAGGGATGGAAATGTCAGGGAGTGATGGGAAGAGACAAATCCAACATCATGAGGGAGCCAATCCAAGCAATCCAGGAGCCTGAAATCCTCACTGGAGCTCTGTGGAACTGGGTGGGCTTTAAGGTCCCTTCAACCCAAACCATTCTGGGATTCCATTATTTAATTCCAAGGGGGAACTCAGGAAAATTCCCCATTTGTGAAACAGCAGCTGCTGAGAATTTCACTCCAAATCAAAATGTTCTGATCTTTAGTTTGTTTTACCCGGGGACTGTGGGGTGCTGAGAGGAATCCATTGGTGCTCCCAGTTAATCCTGCTTGGAGAAGGTTCTGGTGGTACCAGAGGAGGAAATTCAAGTGGCAAAATGGGATGGCTCAGACATGGCAGGAGGAGAAAACCCAAATCTGGCAGGAAAAGGGACCAAACCAAGGGGCTGTGCCCCCTCCCCGTTGTGATTCCTGGATTTTGGAGCCAATGGCCCAGGGGGAGCCTTCCCACCTGGAGGAGTCCCAGGGGCACAGGGATGTTGGGATGAGCTGCTTGGGTCCCACAGCACCAGTTTGCAGGGAAGGTTTGGAACAATGCAGGATTTATTTATTTTTGTTTGTGCTTCCATCCCATTGTGATGGCAGATGTGCTGGCAGTGGCTGTGCCAGCAGGGGTTGAGTGGGGAAAGGCAGAGGGAGGAGAAAAGGGGAATTGATGACTTGGGAACAATGGAATTTCCAGGGAAATGGGGAGGAAAACTTCTCTACAGTTTATTCATCAGCCATGAAAACTGTCCTGGGGTGGCTCTGACGGGTGGTGAGGATGTCACAGTGCTGGAAAATGAAGAAAAGGTTTTCTCTGAATAACTCAAATCCATCCATTTGCTGAATTGGCTCCCAGTTAGGAATGGAAGATTCTGCCTGGAAAATACAAAGTTTTATTAAACTGTGTATGAAGCATTGAAGCATTCCAAGACATCCAGGGGAATTGCACACTGGGAAACTCAGTTTTTGTTAAGTTTGTGTCCCATATGGATTCAGAATTCCAGTTTTAGGTAGGTTTGTATCCCATATGGATTTTCAAACAGGACATTTATCCAGTGCTTTGAGTGTGTTCCCTTCCCTGACCCAGGCTCTAGTGGTGACTTTTTCTTGGAAAAAAGAGCATTTTGCATTTTTTCTTGGTTCTTCCTTCCTCAGACAACATCTCTGGGTGGTTTTTAACCCTCTTTGATCCCTCATGGGATCCCTGAGGTTGAAAAAACTTTATAGACCATTGATTACAAACTGTGACTGATCCCCACCAGAGCACTGAGTGCTACATGCAGTCATTGAAATTAAATAAGATAAAGCAAAATAATATTGAATTCAATCTTAAAAAAATTTTCTAAATTTACTATTTTAAAAGAATTTTTATTTCTCTATTATTCCATATTTTATTTCTCTAACTAGAACCCCCCAAGAGGAAATTCCAGCCTGTGTAGACAGCCTGTGACTCCTTTACTCAGGAGCTGCAATAAAAATAATTCTACAAACAAACCAATCCTCTCCCAACTCATAAAACCTGGTTATTGCCCACCCCACAGCGAGGGTGTCGTAACATTCCTTTTATTGTCATTTTATTGCCAAATCAGGTGTGAGATTAGACGTTGGATGTTCCGTGTAATCTGCTCGGAAATCAAATTATTTGACCTCCAAGCCCAGCTCTGCCCCTTCCCGCTGGTTTCCTGCTCAGTATGCAGCATTTCCCCAGCATGAATAAAAAATTGAGGACAAATTAGAATCTACAGACAGCTGACCCCAGCTCCAGATTAGAGGCTGGGGGCTTGTGCTGGTTTAAATGTTTTAATTACCACAGTCCCTCCAGCCTGGTGAAGGACACACAGCAAAATGCTGATTTTTTTTTTTTTTTTTTTTTAAGTGACTAAAAAGCAAAGAGAAAAAGCAAAAGGCTCCCCCCGCCTCATTTGAATTTTTCAGTTTGATTACATTTGCACTTCCATTGGAGCTATGCTAATTTGCTGCATGAAATTAGGTCTATTAGCAAAAGCCACCACTTTTCCAGGAGAATTTTCAGTGCTTGGGTTTTCCTACTTTGGTTTTTGTTTATTGGCTCTGGGGCTGCCTGAAAAGTGACAAAATCCAAGGGGGATTTTGCCACCCAGCTGGGTTTTACTCCAGACAGATTCCAAATAGGTGACGTGGACAAGAGGAAAATTGGAAAAAAAATAAAAGCAAAGGAAAAATTGGAACACGTTGGATGGTGTTAGGGAGAGGTTTTGGGCTCGTTTTGCTTAATCTACCACAAATAATAATATTGTTAAATATTGAGTTTAAAATACACCACGGCAGAGCAACGTGTGGGGAGGAAGAGCTGAGGGTGAATCAGAAAACCAGGAAAAGAAGTTGTTCTGGAACACAGCAGAATGGAAAATGAGCATTTTTGGCAGTCAGTCATTCCATAGGTGGATGGGTGGGAGGGTGGTGCTGGATGGGGCCGGTGCTATCCCGGTGCCTTTATCCCAGAATTTGCATTTCCTGGTGCCTTTATCCCAGTGCCTTTATTCTGTGATTTGCATTTCCCAGCCCCTTTTTATTCTGTGATTTGCATTTCCTGGTCCCTTTTTATTCTGTGATTTGCATTTCCTGGTGCCCTTATCCTAGAATTTGCATTTCCCAGTGCTTTTAACTCAGGATTTGCATTTCCTGGTGCCTTTATTCCAAAATTTGCATTTCTTGGTGCCTTTATCCTGATGCCTTTTTCCTAGAATTTGCATTTCCCAGTGCCTTTAACTTGAGAATTTGCATTTCCTGGTCCCTTTATCCCAGAATTTGCATTTCCTGGT